CTAAAACTCCTTTGTTCATCTACGAAGAAGCCAGCCGATGACTTAAGCCAGCCTAAAGCTGGAAATACATAAAGAGCATATTTGGCTGGCTTAAGTCATCGGCTGGCTTCTTCGTAGATGAACAGAGGAGTTTTAGGTTGACCTAGTTCGACTTTGGCCCTAGGCTCCTTTGTTCATTTCCGAAGAAGCCAGCCGATGACTTAAGCCAGCCAGGTAAACGCTTTATGTATTCCCAGCTTAAGGCTGGAAATACACAAAGAGCATATTTGGCTGACTTAAGTCATCGGCTGCCTTCTTCGTAGATGAACAAAGGAGGTTTAGGTTGACTTAGTTCGATTTTGGCCCCAGGCTCCTTTGTTCATTTCCGAAGAAGCCAGCCGATGACTTAAGCCAGTCAAATAAGCGTTTTATGTATTCTCAGCTTTAGGGAGGAATAATGCCGTTCGATCCCGGTGACTTGAAAGATTTGAAGGAGTTTATCGCTCATAGGACTTTGGACGTGCTTACAATCCTATCAATTAGACTCACCTCCTCTGATTCACAGTGCTAATTATATCGTTCTGTTAGTCGATCATTTCTCGCATCTGTGCAGTTCGGAAAGTAAGGCTGGAAATACATAAAGCGCATATTTGGCTGGCTTAAGTCATCGGCTGGCTTCTTCGTAAATGAACAAAGGAGTTTTAGATTGACCTAGTTCGATTTTGGCCCTAGGCTCCTTTGTTCATTTCCGAAGAAGCCAGCCGATGACTTAAGCCAGCCAAATAAGCGCTTTATGTATTCCCAGCTTAAGTGCTAGCTAACAGGCTGAGAGACTCTAGACCTACTAAGTATGAAGGATTTTCCGGATTTTGTCTCCAGTCTTACTGCCGTGGCGTCTCGGCGGAAGATTAAGTTTAAACTCATTTTAGCGACGTCTAACCTTTTCTCCGTTGGAGGTAGAGAACTCCCGACACCCCAGCCCAGTCGCCTTATTTTTAAATATATAGGGCTCCTGAACCAAGGCTATGTCAACTTCAGCCTTAGTGAGTGATAGGAAAAGTTCAACTGCAGCGGTGTTAGACGGAATCGAATCCATCCTGTGTCGAAATGCCGATTTTCCCACACGCCTAAAGGTATTCCTGGCAAGCACTATCAATAGTTCTTGCGTTCCCCTCCTTTGAGCTGGAGTCATTGTGGTTGTTTGGGTTGTTGGTGGGTGAAGTACCTCCAAACCACCTTCCACCTGAACGCATCGGGGCAGGCCAATGGATCCATTGCGTCCTGAATCAACTTCACCACGGTTTGAGCGTTCCCTGCAGCTTTATGGCTTGATTCATCTTTCTAAGATAAGGGTATGACAGTAACGTCGAGCTCCTGATCTGAGAGAAAGCCAAATGAAACGCTCCCTTGGCTGAGCCTTAGGATTCTGGTATTTTCAAGGAGGGCGGACAGCTGTTCACTCTGTCTATGTATGTACTCACCTACAACGTCTCATGTCCGTGGCCGTGTCCTGGGTCGATGCCTCCAATGAGTCAGTTGAAATTGGGTCAGAGTTTGGTTTTGTTGTTGTTGTTGTTTTTTTTTTGTGTGTTGTTCTCTATAAAAGTTTGGACTGGAGAGGTGACGATGTCCACCATGACATAGCCTCCTAATCATGGCAAGGACTTGGCATCTAAGCCTTCTACTCGTCGAGACGCCCAGGTATCGACGAGGCCACCGTTCGAACACATTCGGCATTCTGACTGCAAACCTTGGAACGCCACTAGGCACAGTTTACATAACACGCCAGCGTTAGGGAGTCCATTGCGGTGGACCAGTCCGGACACTCCCGAAACATTGCAATATTTTTCTCCAATTGAAGATATTATTCAAAACACTATTCCAGTAGGTATAAGGGAAAGCCAGCTTTCTTCCAATGTCATAATTTTTGTGTGTACCTTTTCCAACATAAACCATAAAGACACCTGGTCATCGTCATCCTGTAGTTTATTGCCCAAAACTAATTAAGTTAATATTACCTCCATCAGCAGCAACTCCAATTCCTGTACTTCAACATCAGTGCCAAATGCATATTATCCAATCAAAATAACATTATTTTTTTACAAACAAAAATGAAAAAATAGAAACCATATGATTGACAATTACACCTTATTAAATACACTTTGGGCACTGCCACCGATCAATTTTAATTTTTTTTATTTGTTTGGCTTAAGATGTCAAATTTAATGTGAGAATACATAAAACGCTTTTCGACCTTTGCAATTTTTTCCGATATCATAAAGGGAAAATTTCTATCGTATTAAAAGTTTTACATTCTTGCAGTTCTGGAACAGATCAATATTTTTCTTTTTTTATATGTGTGTGTATTGTTTTGAATAAAAAATACAATAATTTGAAATTATTTAAAATTCTTGTGCAATTTGGGTTAAAAATTTATCTTTAAATTTAAAACTTCGTCCTTCAATCTTAGATTAAATTTAATGGAATAATCCAAACATTTCATTTATGTTATCTGATTTTCCCTAAGATAAGAATTTTGTTAAAAAATGTACAATAAACAAAACCAATTGTTGAATACGTTGAGCCATGGGCCATACATATGTTGTAATACGTATATTGAATTTGAATATTTTATCAACTATTTTTCATACAATTGAAAAGAACACACATGTAAAAATCAATGTAGGATGTTAGCCAGACAAATAAAAAATAATAATAATAATAATAAAATAAATTGTACAATTGTACAATGCTCTCACCTTTAAGCCAGTCTAGAAAACATTTTATAAATTCTCACCTTAAACCCCTTTTTTGACTGGCTTCAGTCATTGGCTGGCTTCTTTGTAAAAAAACAATGAGCGCAAGGTGAACAAGCATAAATTATGAGCCAAAATTAAACTAAGACAACCTAAAACTCATTTGTTCATTTACAAAGAAACCTGCCGATGACTTAAGCCAGTCAAAAAGCTTTTTAATTACTCTCACCTTTAAGGTGATTTGTACATTAAAGACATTTTTTATTAGATTAAGGGTGAAAGTACATAAAGCGCCTATTTGGCTGGCTTAAGTCATCGGCTGGCTTCTTCGTATATGAAGAAAGGAGTTTTAAGTTGACTTAAGATTGGAATACATAAAGCGCTTATTTGGCTGGCTTAAGTCATCGGCTGGCTTCTTCGGAAATGAACAAAGGAGTCTAGGGCCAAAATCGAACTAGGTCAACCTAAAACTCCTTTGTTCATCTACGAAGAAGCCAGCCGATGACTTAAGCCAGCCAAATATGCGCTTTATGTATTTCCAGCCTAAAGCTGGGAACACATAAAGCGCATATTTGGCTGACTTAAGTCATCGGCTGGCTTCTTCGGAAATGAACAAAGGAGCCTACGGCCAAAATCGAACAAGGTCAACCTAAAACTCCTTTGTTCATTTACGAAGAAGCCAGCCGATGACTTAAGCCAGCCAAATATGCGCTTTATGTATTTCCAGCCTTATTTCGACTTTGGCTCTAGGCTCCTTTGTTCATTTTCGAAGAAGCCAGCCGATGACTTAAGCCAGCCAGATAAGCGCTTTATTTATTCCCACCTTAAGGGTAGAAATACATAAAGCGCATATTTGGCTGGCTTAAGTCATCGGCTGGGTTCTTCGTAAATTAACAAAGGAGTTTTAGGCTGGAAATATATAAAAAGCATATTTGGCTGGCTTAAGTCATCGGCTGGCTTCTTCGTAGATGAACAAAGGAGTTTTAGGTTGACTTAGTTCGATTTTGGCCCTGGGCTCCTTTGTTCATTTCCGAAGAAGCCAGCCGATGACTTAAGCCAGCCAGATAAGCGCTTTATGTATTTCCAGCTTTAGATTGTTGACTTAAGGTGAGAATACAAAAAAAGCTTGTTTGACTGGCCAAGTCATCGGTACGAAAGTACAAGAAGAGGTTCTAAAGGAACAAAGGAGTTTTAGATTGACTTAGTTCGATTTTGCCCCCTGTTCTTTTCCGAAGAAGCCAGCCGATGACTCACGGTGAGAGCACATAAAAGATTTTTTTGACTGGCTTAAGTCATCAGCAAGCTTCTTCGTAGAGTAACAAAGGCGTTTTAGGTTGATATAGTTCGATTTTGGCCCGACGCTCCTTTTTTATTTTCCAAAAGAGCCAGCCGATGACTTAAGTCAGTCAAAAAAGCGATTTATGTATTCTCACCTCTAAGCTAGTAAAACAGCCTTTTATGTATTCTCACCTTATGGTCCTCCTTCAAAGCCAGCTGGCTACCAAATTTAATGTTAGGGTGGAAATACATAAAGCGCTTATCTGGCTGGCTTAAAGCTGAGAATACATAAAGCGCTTATTTGGCTGGCTTAAGTCATCGGCTGGCTTCTTCGGAAATGAACAAAGGAGCCTAGGGCCAAAATCGAACTAGGTTAACCTAAAACTCCTTTGTTCATTTACGAAGAAGCCAGCCGATGACTTAAGCCAGTCAAATAAGCGCTTTATGTATTCCCAGCTTAAGTCATCGGCTGGCTTCTTCGGATATGAACAAAGGAGTTTTAGGCTGACTTAGTTCGATTTTGGCCCTAGGCTCCTTTATTCATTTCCGAAGAAGCCAGCCTAGGGCCAAAATCGACCTAAGTCAACCTGAAACTCCTTTGTTTCTCTACGAAGAAGCCAGCCCATGACTTAGGGTGGGAATACATAAAGCGCTTATTTGGCGGGCTTAAGTCTTCGAAATGAACAAAGGAGCCTAGGACCAAAATCGAACTAAGTCAACATAAAACTCCTTTGTTCATCTACGAAGAAGCCAGCCGATGACTTAAGCCATCCAAATAAGCGCTTTGTGTATTTCCAGCTGTAAGTCTGCCCAATAAACCCTTTATGTATTCCCACCTTAAGTCAGTTACCTTCTATGTACTGTACCTCAATTAGTAAAGGAAGAAATCAAATAAAAACTGCACATTTTATACGATACGTATACAATAACTGCCGACACAAAATGACGACACAAGATGGAACGGCGTGAATTGAAAAACGAATAGAAAAATTTTATTGGACGTTTACAAAAGCAGAAGTGTTCGGTGAAAGGACGGTGGTCTTTTTCGTTTTAACAAAAGTAGCCAGTTTGCTAACACAGTTCTTTTCCGTCTTAAAACTTTAACAAAGAACAAAATGAATGAAGAATACGATGCGATTGTCTTGGGAACCGGTCTTAAGGAGTGCATTTTGAGTGGTATGCTTTCTGTGTCTGGAAAGAAAGTATTGCATATCGACCGAAACAAGTACTACGGTGGTGAATCGGCTTCTATAACGCCTTTGGAAGAACTTTTCCAACGTTTTAATATCGAGGTCCCCGGCGATAAATATGGGCGCGGCCGTGATTGGAACGTGGACTTGATTCCAAAATTCTTAATGGCTAATGGACAGCTAGTTAAATTGTTAATACATACGGGCGTTACCCGTTACCTCGAATTTAAGTCCATCGAGGGTAGTTACGTCTATAAGGGAGGAAAAATAGCAAAGGTGCCCGTTGATCAAAAGGAGGCTTTAGCATCCGATTTAATGGGTAAGTTTAGTTTTGTCCAGAATAACGTATGGGTTTTTGCTAAATATAATCTGTAGTTACTAGACATGTATATATCGTCATTTTCTATCCCCTCTCACAATCTTTTTTGACACGTATTTTATAGTAGCGGTAACGAGCTTTGAAAAATTATACATAAAGGCGTAGAGATGACTGTGCGCGAAATTGTTTGTGTGTGGATGTTAACAATTATTGCATTACTTCTTTTGCTTATTCGTACTCTGTGTCTGATGATGAGATTCTGTAGGTTTGCTTTTTTCCTTATTACTATTTCTACATACAATATAGGAAAAATTAAAATTGAAATATTTTCCTCGTTTCCATTATAAATACATTTTTCATTTTTCTTGTCAAATACGACGAGGCTTAGTTATCGCAAATTTGTTCCAGAAACAGATGGAAATGAAATTGTACTTTGCGTATACAAACACCCGAATGAGGACTGAAGTAGCAACGACATTTTTATTTTATTGCGCACATCCTATAAAAAAAACCGTGTATGAAAGGAAATATGAAAAACAGCAACAAAAATTTTGGACTCGTAATACAGCTTAGCTTTTGTTGTTGGTTCTGTTCCATAGTACGGATTTATAGTACTTTTGCACGCAAAAATTTCGGAGTTAACTTTAAGTTTGTTATGTCCCCACTTTAGTTTGCTGTTTTTATCTGAAATTGATGGATATAAATTTGGGTACCGGGTAAAGGTTTTTTAGATTGTAAATTATACAGTATCTTAATAAGGGTAAAATTCGATACTTCAATGTTCATTAATGTGCCATTTATTTGCACATTGGACAAGATCTATGATAAACATCGTTCCTGTAAATTAAGATCTGGCTTAAAGTATAAGTTTTTATTAATTGAGACTGTAAAATGGATATAAATTAATTGGATACATAAAATAGAAAACTTATGAATTGAGATCATGACCCAACAGAAGACCGGCAATTAAAGTTTAAATAACCTTTGGTTTACGTAACCGGTTTTAGACATAATACAGAGGAGTATATATGGCATATGGATTTCTCCCCGAAAAAGTTATATTGTTATAATCAGGATTAAAATGCCTACCTTTAGTAAAAATTTCACATATTTTTGTTCAGTTTCAACTTTTACATTTAACAGGTGTATACGATAACCAAATATTTTGTACAGTGTTGCTTGATAACCCAAAATCTTAAAATAAGAGCGAGCAAGGAGAGTAATTTTGACCGTCGCGTTACAGAGAGTTTGCAAAATCTTACTGAAAAAAAATTATAAAAAAATAATTTTACTATCCAGTAACATCAGCTGATAGAAAATACACGATATTTGGCCTAAGCAAACATTTTTACAAATTTCAGACAATAATTTTTTTGTTTTAATTATTTAATAAGCGTTTAACATTTTGATTACAAAAATCCAATTCTCATTAAATGTACCCAACAGCTCAAAAGAGTACCGCATACTTTTTGCGAAACAGTTGTTTTCTTGCTACATTTTATTTATTTATTTATTTATATCTTCACTTGTAACACAGAATCCTTCATGGCCTAAAATAAAGCATTACAAAGCATTACAATAATCCTGATAATGTAAACTAATTTAATGATATTGGCTCCCCAGCCTGATCTACTAAATAAAGTACATGTTGATGAAAGAAAGGTTGTATGGTCCATTAGCAACAAAATATAAAAATATTAAATTACAGAAAAATGTTCACTTAACTTACTTAATGTTTGTTTGATAACTTTTTGCAAAATTTACACTCAAGAGAAAAAATTCTCTCACAGTATACGCTAGTGCGTAATTTTTACTGGATAATTACAGTATATATCTGTTGTTTGTATCGGTAGTTCTTAGCCACAACTTTATTTTCGTTGATTACTTATGTACTGGGACTTTGTTAATTGCCGAAATTATGACATTGGTAAATTACTTCTACCGATAATTGTCGTTAGATGAAAGTTGAATAAAACATATGATTTCGGACGCGTGTTTGTTCAAAAGTCCTTCTGTATAACCCAAGTACTTAAGGTACATGTACCTCAATATTCAAAAATAAATTGTATAACAAATAAAACAAACAAAAATAAGTTCTGTCAATGTTAAATCTTTCATTCACACTTTTTCTTAATTTTTTTGTGAGTTCGTTTTGGATAAATACCTGTTCATTTTCTAGAAATTAGGTTTCTATAATTCCCAAAATGTTAATTAAACTAATTTAAAGTCGTAATCCGATATATACTTTAATAACTTATTTTTAATTTATACATACGCTGGAGATTTATAAAATTATTTTTGACAATTAAAAATATATGCTAAGATTTTAGTAAACATTTATTTATAAGAAATTCTTACATACCTATCTTATGGTTCGTTCCACAAGTATATATATATTTATTATTTTTTCAAATTTTTAATTCTTTTCTCTTAAAATTTGTAAAAATTTGTATCTTTACCTTAACATTGATCTGAAAATATGTATATATATTTCGGAAATAGAACTCCATAAAATAAAAGTTCCAACATTGATATTAATAAAAATGATATACATCATATTTTCTGTGAGTCTAACTGGTGAAAGCAATTTTTGAGTAACCTCTTTGTTACTCTCAAAGAAAAAAGTGACTACATACGGGGCAATGAACTAAAGTTTTCATAGTCAATGCTACGAAAGGGAAGTAAGCATATTTTGGTGTATTATCTAGCATTGTTGCGCATTTTCTACTTTCCCTTGGCAAGTTTAAAGGCAGATGGCAATAAAATTAAAATGACTCACTGCTATTTTCATACTCTACGCCACTTTATGCCTTTTGAGCATTTGTTTGTACCAGGCCTACCCAACACCCGACGTGCCGTACAAATCATTCACATTCCCCAAATGATAAAATGTTTTTTTTTGCGTCTGTAAAATATACCCCTTTGATTAAGAATACTTCTTGGGTTGGTTTTCAATTCAGCTTTTCAATTTATTATTTGACAAATTGTCCACACCAGTAAACGTTATGCAAGCCACACGCGATACAACTGGTTGTACAACTTGGAGAGTACTCAAATGAAATTGTAATCGACATGCCCACAAACGTTACAATCGGTTGGTACAACATGCCAAATATCAAAAAATCTTGATTTTTTATACAAACGAGACACAACTTCGTACAACCGGGCCACAAACAATACAATCTTTAATGCAACCTCTCCATGTTGTACTACCAGTTGTATCGTGGGTGACTTGCATTATAGACAAACAATTTTTTTCTTTTCATTACGAATACATATAAAAGTAAAGCCTACTATTGTAACATAAAAAAGCATATGGTTCTCGGTTAACTCAATATATTTTTGCATGGTAACATAAATTAGTTTTTATTCAACTTTTTTATTGATCATTACAAGTTAAAAAATATGAAAATAATAGGAATGTTTATAATTCAAGATGTGACATGTTGTTACTATTTCTGGGAAAATATAAAATAAAACAACGTTCCTTGTAAATATTAGGAAAACCCAGGAAAAACTAATCAGACCCAAACCAACAAATATATTAATTAAATGTTAAGACAATCACATACAACTTTCCAAGCCGAGCTAACTCCTCATTTCAAGAAATCTAGCAGCTGCAAGGGTTTTGTTAATATATCAGCAATCTGTTTATCTGGTGGAATATAGACAACAGTTATTAGTTTAATTTCAACTTATTCTCTTGAAAATGATATTTAATATCAATATGTTTTGATCGTTTGTGACATTTAGGGTTTTTCATGTACTTATGCAGCCTTGATTATCCTCGTAAACTCTAATAGGCATATTCAACTCTTTTAATACTACTCGCTAATGATTTTAACCATAGAGGTTTCCTTACTGCTTTAAACAAAGACCTCTATTCAGCTTCTGTTGATGAAGCTGCTACAGAGTTCTGTTTCTTTCTGTTCCAACAAATTAGACAGGCTCCAAATATTTTACACAAATAACGAGTTGTTCTCTTCCGATCAATCTCACGTCCACCCCAATCAGCATATACATATCCAAAAAATATGTCACTGTGATTATCGTTGAGGTATTTAACACTCGTTTAAGACATTGTCATAACTCTTATTGCTCTTATTACCATAGCGACTTGATATATTAATTGCCGTACTTAAATCAGGCCGCTTACATAACATGACCTACATTAAGCATCCGATTAGTTTACGACATGGTGTGTCATATTTTTCATCCGAGTTAAGTTCTTCGTAATTCAGTTTGCATGACAGTGGAGTACTGACAGGCTAACAGTCATGCATTTTAAATTTTCTCAATATATGCCGACTCACTGAAATATACTATATTTTTATCTCTCTCTATCCTTATACCTATAAAATATTTGATTTCGAATAAATCTGCCATTTTAAACCTGTTCAATAAATATCTTTTAAAATTAACGACTGTTTTATCATTAGCCGTAGCAATTACCAAGTCGTCTACGTACGAATTATCAAGTGTATCACCCTTATCAAGAATGTATAAACAGCTATTCACTGCTGAGTTAACAAATCCTATTTTCTTCAGGACATTTTTAAGAACTTCAAACCAACACCTTGCAGATAAATTGACTTATTTAGTTTACAAATGTTATCATCCCCACAATCGAATCCTTGTTGAACTTTCATGTAGATTTCCTCCTTCAATATTACATTCAGAAAGTCTGTCTTTACATCCATGTGATGTACCTTTAAATTGTACTGGTTTGAAAAACCATCCGAATGCAAATTCTAGCCACAGGTACAAAGGTTTCATAGAATCAACTAAGTACACTTGGGTAAATCCTCGAGCAAAAAGCCTGGCCTTGTATCTTACTGGGTTTCCTTTTACATCATGTTTCAATGAAAAAACCCATTTACAATCAACTACATTGTTACCAATAGGTTTTGATACAAGAGTCCATGTCTCGTTGTGAAAATGTGATCTAAGCTCATCGTTTATTGCTTTTTCCCAATGTTTTCTATCGTTTCTATTTTCAA